ATGCTGTAGTTAACAACATGTGACATGTGCCTGGTAATCATGAATTGTCATAGCAATACTTATTCTGAAAGGAGGCGTGCCTCGAGGTTCATGAGGATTTCCAGGCTCTGATGCCGGGACTGTAGAAGCATTTTCGGGACATAGAGGAAATTAGCTAAAGACTTAACCTGCTCAAACGCGGTGGTGATGACCATTGTAGCCGCACCCACCAAGCCAAGATCCTCAAGCTATAGGGCCGAGCCTTCAGCGCATAACAGTTAGGAGCCCCCAGACCTCCCTGAACATGCCTGGTACCTAACTTCTGAATAGGTTGAAAGTTTGCAGACGATTGATTGACTTGAAGCTTGCGAAGCCTGCTGACCCCAAGCTTGCAAAATGCTGATATCAAGCCCAGCCTTCGAGACACTCGTCGTATTCCAGGGCTTCTTGGGCGGTCAGCACTGGCCGTACGCGCCCTCCACAGGGTTTGAGGCATGATTTTAATGCCAGGGCGTTGTCAAGGAAAGCTATTGGCTTTGCCTGGAGAAAATGCATGGCTTGTGGTCTCACAGTTGCTCACCTTGCGCTAAAACCACATCCCCGAAACGCATATGGCCCTTGCATGAGCTTCCTGAAAAGAAGCGATCTCATGTTGGCACCCTGAGGCCAGGTTCCCTCACGATTCACCTGCACTTGAATGTCCACCACTTCACAGCTTCGGCCACTTCCAGAAAAACCAACATGGAACCTGACAAGCGATCACCTAAAGACTGCGAATTGACTGAAATCCAAAAGGTGTCAAGTTGGCTTAGCCGAGGATGGTTTCAAAAGGCCCATATACCCAGCCACTTCTGGAAATCTCTGCACCCCCCAAGGCCTTCAATCCTGAATTGTAAACCTTATCTTTGTCAAAGGCACCTAGGGATCAAGGCAGCCCTTAAACCCTGAAATCTGAATACCTGCAAGCCCACATCCTCGAAGCAAGCGACCCCACCAGCCTGAAGTCTTACATCTGGGATAATGGAAAAGAAAATGGAAACTACTAAAACCAGGTATATATTAGGGTTTAAATAAAGCATATTAGGGATTATAGGGTATAAACTGTCGGTAGAGACCTAAATAATGGAAAGCTTAAGCCTAAAGTCTGAAGTCCTCACACTCACCTGCAAATCCCCGTCATAATCCTCAAGTCCTGAAGCTCTCCAGCAAAAGGAGCACAGCCCCAAAGGCAACAGCGGATCAAACGAAATGTGACACGCTGAAACCCATGCGCCTGAAAACCTGCATGCCAAAATGTCCGGAAGCCTTGATGCCCAAACCCTGCCACGTGGAAAATCCCTGGGCTCTATGCGCAAAGTCCAAACGCTCAACCCGAAGCCCTAAACCTTCAAATGTGACCCCATGGGGATCAGAGCGCACCTGCGGGTCGAGGGCTTCCCGTCCGCATCGAGCTGCGCTCGCAGTCGCCCACGGCCCTGTGAAATTGGAGGATGCGATGTGATCATGGCTCAATAGAACGATTATGTAAAGCCATATATTCTAATAGGATCTCCTAGACGCAGCGGTATAAGGTGCCATCCTGAGACTGGTGATGGCTTCGCTTTGTTGGGTGTGTTTAGGATGCATCGCTTGAGGGTTTTGGGAATGTGGTTTCGCGTAAAGGCCTAGTTTCAGGCTACGGAAGCTTGAGGCTTTCAAGTTTCAAAAACCGTTTGTGGATTTAGGGTTTGGGGGTTTAGGCTACAGGGCAATGCCACGGAAACTCGAGTGTGTGATGGACGTTCCGCCCAAATACAAGCCCCAGCTCACCCGAAAGCATTTCTTTTTCTTGAGGTAGGTGTACTGAAGCCAGCCAAATTCCAGAAAACGGATGAAAAAGTATGAGTCTGTAAGGAGCCCTGCACTACTAACAACCCACTAGACCTGCAACTCCGGGGACTCCTGCAAATTTCTGCCAAACCCTGAAATCAGCAGCAAAAGCGGTATGAACCCCAGCAATAATGGGCGTTCTGTTTGGGTGCGTTTTCTACCAGTGGGTCCTTTGAATCAGGACCCTACTCCTGGGCACCCAAGAAATATCCACCTCACCCATGAAAGCTGAACTTAAATTCCTATCTTCCCAGCCGCCAATACCTACCTAAAAAAATCATAACAGTCCTGACAGCGAAAAACAACCGCCAGAAATACAAACTGGATGCCGTTGCCTCCAGGGGCGGCTCTAAGGCGCGCTGATAGCGGGACGGCTTCAGGTCCTCCAGGATGTCCAATGAAAAGCTGGGGCTAAATAGAGATAACGCAAAAGACGGAAACTACTGCATTATAAAAGCATGTGTATTGGGGTGTTGTAGTAAGGAATCATTTGGGTGTAGTTTCATTGCGCTCAGGGCTTGGGACTTGGAGTTACCCTCCCCTCAAACCGAAAAATCCGCCCTTTCTAGCCCACCCCTGCACACGTCCTCATCCGGCTCTAGCGCCTCTGGAAGAAGCGTCTGAGCTGCCACCTCTTCAAAAGCCGTGCGCTAAAAGTTGCGAAAAACTACAAGATCTTCTTGATCGAGAAACAATCCGGGCTTCGGTGACATGAGGACATTTCCAAGGCTCATTTACACTCAAATTCGTGCTGCAGCACATAATCCATACGAGCGTTTGCGAAAACATCGTCAAATTCATGTCTAGCCGCCCAGCGAAGGATTACAAAGTGAAGCGGCAATAGATGTCAAAAGCATGATTTCGTATCAATTCTTTGCACACATCATATGTGACAAAATTGGCTTTACCACTGCCAAAAGACACGCTGTTGAACCTATTGTCTTGGTGGCTCAGGCTGGAAGCACCGAGGTGTGCAACAGGTTGCTTACAGAAGCCAACAAAGAGCCTTGAAAGCAGGCTGCTCAAGCAGATTCTTTCCACTCCCTCAAGGATAAACCTCTGCAGCCATTTCAGTACAAGCGGTGGAAAAGGTAGTAACTGAAATTGTGGCTTTGCTAAATGCTTGCGCTTGCGTGCCATGGTTTACTGCCTCAGGAATTTTGGAATCTGAAGCTACAGCCTCCAAGCTTCAAAGCCATTATCATGCCATTTTCATTCAGACAAATGGGAGCTCCGGACCCCAAAGTCCCGAATCCTAAACAATACCCAAGATATCCCAAGATGTGACTCTCACCTATTCAAGGCGTCACCTTACGGTTTATTTGCTGCTGTAGATGAGGAGCACCTTGACTCTGAGACATGAGCTGTTCTCACACATGCAAGCCTGAATGGAAAAACCCTAGAATGATCCACTTTGTCAAGTGTCTCAGCTCTTGCTCACTAATTACCTGCTGGAACGGCCAGCAACATTTGAATAGACTTGTGAAAAGCACCATAAAACCTCAAGCAGGACGACAAACTCAGAACATCCACCCGAGTTGTCAGAAACTCTACAACCAGAGTTGCCCTTCGAACCTTGGCCGTCTGTGACATCCCTTTCATGTAGCCAGCATCAGCCTTCCCATGGCTGGCGACTTTGCAGGTGTCCAGGGTTCGGGGGTTCTAGATCTAGTGTCTGTTGCGGGCACAGCGGATGCGAATTATGCTTGTACGCCGTACACCTTACTCATTTTTGTAACTGAAAAGTCAACTGGAAGGTAATCAATCATTGGCTCCTACATCCTGCCGCTACAAGCCCGGTAGGGCTCTTGGGCTCTGGGATTTCTGTTTTGCCAGCGGATTTCAAGATTTGAGGCCTGCGCACGTCCACAACACGGAAACCCAAACCCCTACGCCTCAAAAACTTGAGCTGGCCTTCTGACATTGAAGTGACCACAACGAAGCATTCTCTGCGGGTGATGAAGCAAGGGGCAGCTAGCCTCGATTTTTGAAACGTTAGAACGCCCAGGAGGTAAACCCAACCCCAATCCCTAAGCTACCCTAAACTTCAAACCCCCAAAACCCTAAACCGGAAAGGCTGCACCATCATGCCACAAAACAGAGGTTGCCTCTGAGGTGCTGAAGAGAAGGTCTCGGTGCTGGAGACAAAGGGCGGTCAGCACCGGGTGACTCACCTGGTCATGAGATCAAAAGTCAAAGGCTTAGAGGTTTAGGGCTGGGATGGGTGGGACTGAGGATTGTGGCTATAGGTTTAAAGTTTGCGTTCAAGGTTCGTTCTATGCTGCGGCTTTAGTGCTGAGCATCCTAATGGGCGATGTGCTCTGAAATCCATGAATCCGAATGCTACAGTCGTGGCAAAGAATCAGGATTGGGCAAACCAAGCAAGGAACGCTTGGAAGACTGCGCGGTCTAGCAACCTACATCTGTCCGGAAAGCAAGAATTCGTGACATCGACACCCTCATCATGAGTATGACTCCCTCCAGCCTTGTCACCGGCATCCCCCAGCTTCCCTGCAAGGAATCTTTCTCGCAGGTGCCTGCGCACGGGCTTTCAAACACTAAAGCCTACCCTGAACCTAACGTCTGAAACCACAAAACCGCCTGTCAATCAATGAAACGCCTTACGGCCTGCAACCCGCAAAGTCCCGGAGCCGTACTGAACCCTGCTTCCAGGCCTTCTGCCGGGTTCGCTTACCAAGGTGCAACAGGCACTACGTAGGGTGACTTCCGGGTTGCATTTCGCTGTTACCCATGACGACAAATGCGAGACCTTTCACTAGTATTACGACCCCCCCATTTGCCCGCGCTACATGCCCGCTCATCAGAATGTGCTACGTATAGCATTGTTTTTGTGGATGTGGATGTGGTCGAAGTGAACGTTCTTATGGGTGCCAGCATGGGTTCACTTGTTGTGGATGTGGTCGAAATGAACGGTATGATGAGTACCGGCATGCATTCGCCAGTATCTTGNNTTTCGCTGTAAATAACAGTAATCTTACATTGGTGGAAGTATTTGTACACATGCTATGACCTTGGGTGCGCACGTAACACGAAGATGCTGCGGGCAAATAGGGGGGTGTGGGTAGTATTAGTACTCCTGATTGGGGACCGCACAACCACGAACCATATGAATTGGACGTCCACAAACCTTCTTATGTCATGTCTTTCCTGTTTTTTAATGATAGCCCTATTCCTACTGCAGTTCTCATGATCAACATGAAAACCTGAACAATCAAAACAGGCCTGTCATGTAGGGATTGCCGGGAAGTGGTTTCAAACTTTTCCGGCACCAAACCCTTAAACTCCAACCCCAAGGCCCCAGCATGAGCCCCAATAAACCGCAAACCCTCACGCCGAAACACCAAGTAGCAAATATTCCTCCCAACTCTGCCAATGGGCCGGTGATAGCAGCGAAGCATGGGAAGGATAAGAGCCGGCTTGCCCCGCCGCTCCGCCAGGCAAACCTTCCAACAAATGTGGTGTTCTTCCACAGGGTTCACTCAGAGGGGCGTGAGGGTTTAGGGATTGAGGCTTCAGTTTTGATGTGGATTTACCATGTTGGGCGCTTCTGAAAACAAGGATGCTGGATGTATGGTATGCTGGCTATACACCCCTGCAGCTATAAAGGAGGGGTCACTTGGAGAAACTCCCGCACGACAAGTACATAGATTCAAGGAAGTTCAGATAGCGCTTCGAGAAAAGATCCTCATGCCTCCGCGGATCTACATCCCAAAACCCATGTCCTGAACCCTACACCCGAAAAAATCAGACCCCACACAAAGCTTTTCGCAGATTCGCTTCAAAAGCGTACAAATTGCTGCAAGTGTTCGCCGCAGCCCTGAGCCCCATGCTTACAAAACCTCAACCTCCAACCCGAAACCATGCCCTCAACCATGATCTTTCACCCAAGGCGGTAATAAACTGTAATTGGATCCAGTCTTAGATCCTTTACTCACAAGCCTAGACCCCCGAGCCGAAATCCTGCGAAGGGGCCGGGGTAGCTCCATTTGGCGTTGGCTGAAGGAGATGGTGCAAATGCGTGGCCTCGTGGCTGCCTTGGCATTCTCTCTGGGAGGTTGGGGTTTATGTGGTTTTGCAGAAATTGACTTTGAGGGCTTAGGGTCTACCATCATCTTTCATAATTCAGGGATTAGGATCATCCAAAATCACCAGCGAAACCTCCACACATCTACCCAAGGCTCAGCGCCAACCTTGCACAGTCCTCTTCAAAAATGCAACCCTAGAAGTCACTGCTCGACGTTTAGCTTCGTGGGCCTCTAATGAGACCTCATGCCCTTGCGCTTGGGTGTACAAATACCAGGCTCGTCATACAACCCATGCTTTAAGCCCAGAATCTTGTACCACTGAAGATGACCAACTATGTGACAGCAGCTCATGATTTGGGTTCAAAAGGTGGTACAGAATCTCTTCCACTTCCATTCTCTGCGTGGATGTCACAACACAATACGCTTCCGGAGCTTTGTAATCAGAAAACTGGACCCCACGCTTTATGCTTACCTCCACGATCTCGGAGCCCCCCCTGTGCAGATCCAAAAATCCCTGCAATCCTCCTTTGCCGGATAACCAGTAAGACCAAAAAAAGCCAAGAAAATGTAAATCAGCTGGACACACCCGTCTACTACCCCTATGTAAACATCGTTTCCTAAACGTAGATATGGGCATGGGCCCGTTAAATGCCTGAGATGGTGATGTCGGCAGTTCCAAACTGCACCTAAGCCTTCCCTCAACCCTGAAGGCTGAAACCTAAACTGCGAACCATCCAGGTCCAATCCTGACCCCCCAAACCCCAGGTTACTCCTCCCGCAGCCGAGTAGCAAAGGACCTGGACAGCTAGCCTCAGGCGGGCATCAAATTAAACTAGGAGAACCCAACACCCCACGACTCAATAAGGATTTGGGCTGTCAATATGGTCACTATTTTTTGAGCTACACTGCTGAGCGCTGAGAACCTGAAGCCTTGACACAAATAATCTTTGGAGAAATTCCCTGTATGCACTCACCGACATTCCAGACCAAGTGGTGAAGAATCAATGAGAGTGTGATCCCGTCTGGAGAACAGCAGCTGGAGGCAAATAGTAAGGAGAGACAAACTGCGACGTTTGATCCACTATACGCTATTGAACGATACAGTAACGGCCGGAAAGTTGGGACATCAGTAGACCTCAAAAAGGAAAATATAGCATAAATCAATCTGCTCTATATTGCACTTGGCCTTTACAGCATTCCAACCTCTAAGCCCTAGTTGCCCGATTGGGGCAAACTCCCAGATATCCCTGGCATAGCTCGGACATTCAGCCCCGCGACTCGTGCCCATGTTCGACGGCCAGGTGCAAGGCCGTACCTCAGAAAACTTTTTTGACGATCAGGATTTGGGGATTAAGGATTGAGATTAAGGGTTAAAGGTCCAAAGTTTAGGATGTAATGCCCAACATTACGAAGCCCTGCCTCCCTGCAGGATCCGTATCTAAGGTGCCTAAAACACTTTCCAAAAGTGCTGGGGTCTGTAATGCGACAACCACATATTCATACAAGGCTTTCAGGCAGATATTCTTTCCTACGGTCCAGTTTTCACCTTAAATTCCTTTCTCTCCTCTAGAACTTCATTACGACTACAACCTCAACGATCCCTCAATCCAAAAACCCCCAAACACCCTATCTCCATGTAAAACCCTCAAAATCCCCCTTCTGGGGCCATCGGGGCGCGGCCCGAGGATGTCGCCGCATCGAGCTGCGCGCGGGCACGAAGAAGCGAAACGATGAGCCGAGCGTCACCTGCAAAGCTCAACTTACTGGTTACTCATGCCTAAGGGGGAGTGGGGGAATGGATTCCGTGGGCCAGGGAAGTATATGGGTAAAGGGATTACAAGGCGACTACAGAAGATCTTTCAGGCTTATACAAAGAAGCTATTACGTATATGAACTTGCATGCATTGAGCCTAGGGAACGCTTATGGGTCATTTGGAAATAGGGGCATTGCATGCCTGCACCATCCGAATGGAAGCCCGAAAGGCGAAAGGCCCAATGTTCCCATAGAACTCCCCAGAAAGCACCTTCGAAGGCACACCGATTTCATGATAACCTCATCATCTTCGGAGACGCTGCAGGTCTTGCAGGCACTTATGCCTTTGGCTTCCAGACCTTTGAATATCTGGCTTAGTTCTTGCCGCATGATACTGTCCGTGCCCTTCTCACCCTGCTGCAATGCTCGTGTTTTGGTTGTACACACTGGGGGTCGTCGTTTCAAGGATTTGCTGGCAAGGCTTTAGGCTCCAAGCTTTGCAGTTTGGCCAAAGTTTTGTTTGCGATCTGAGCAGGCCAAGGAACTCGATTCCGTAAGGCTGTGTGAGGTTTGGGGTAAGGTTTGGGCTGTTTGGTGGGGCGTGAAGTTCCAAGCATCATAAGGTTGGGCTGTCCTGCCTGCGGCTCCGGGCCAGAGACATCAACAGGTCGCAAGCCCTCGAAAAAGCTCACGACTCAGTGCTTAAGCTTGGAGACATGGGCCCTTTGCAGGCTCTTCAAATTCAAACAACCCGGAAAAAAAAATTGACCACGAGTGAGTCGGTAGATGCTGGAGCCGTGCTGCCAAACGTTGTTGTTAAACTGAAAATAAAGTCAGCAGCAACCTAGAAAGAACTGTAAATCGACGTTGAAGTTCGGTCGCTAGTCGGGAAGCCCAGTAAGACAACTGCTGTCCCACTGGGGCAGGCCCTGCGCTCGAGACCACAAAAGTTTGATTCCAGACGAAGCTCATATAGGATTCCCACATAAGCGAGGACCTGAGTTAGCACATGTGCCTCGTTCTGCAGCGAGGTGAAGGGCTGACTTCCCAGAAGGCAGTGTGGCATTGATGGAAGCCGTCTTGTCCTCATGTCAGTTGAGTGGACCCACTTGCTTAGGTTGAGAAGCACTTCCAAGGGGTCCTTTGCAAAGAGCAGCTCTGCCACGTCCAGGCAGCCGCGGTTCAGCGCTGCCAGCAGCGGCGTCTCCAACTCGGTTGGTGCCGGTGCCTCGGTCATCCCAGGCCCAGGGGCCACCTGTGATGCAGCTGCCGCGGCCACGCCGCAGCCAGCATCCAGGAGCACCTCGGCATTGCATGCATGGCTCAACAGCTCAACACGGCTCACCTACTCCTTCGGAAGACATTTCGAGCATGTATAATCATGTATAGCCAAGGAGCAGCCACATAGGGTACGGCGCCAGCTCCGCATGCAGCAAGTAGCGCACGGCGGGCAGCTACCTCGGCACGTTGGGGAGCCGTCAAGGCCTCAGCCATGAGCTGCATTGCTTGGAGACGGCCACCAGACACCTCGGCCATCGGGGCCAGGAGCACCGCACTGAGCGGGCATTCACCGCCAGGTTGTCTCTGCGCATCCGTCCGCTGCATGTCTGGCTTCGTGTGAGCGGCGTGCGCTAGTGGCGAGGCATGGCGCTCCAGCAAGCGTGACACGGACGCCACATCGCCATGGCGTGCGGCCCAGAAGAGAGGCGTGGTGCCTCGACCACTTCGCTCGGTCTCTGCCCGCATCTCCAGCAGTAGTGCCACTGCCCCTGTCTGGTGGCGTTTTGCCGCCCGCCACAGAGGCGGCTCGCGAGCTTTTCCGCTCTCTCGCGGGCCGTTGAGCAACTCCGCCAATACTTTGGGCTCAGAGGTGCGCTCAATGCGTGCGGCCGTGCAGGCCAGGAAGCTGCAGTAGCCATGCCCCGCAGCCCAGGCAAAGCTCTCCTGGAAAGGAACTCAGATGCAAGAATGCGAGAGGTCTGGAATCTTCCAGGAGAACTGAAGGTTGAGCTCATCCTAAGCATATCCTGAAGAAGCCCCTGCAGAATGCGAGAAATTGCTACAGGCACTTGATACTGAAGAAACAAATTGCCGAGAGTAGCACTCGCGACTGCAGGGGTAGGTGATCGGAATCGGACGAGTGAGGATCAGGACGGGATCAATTGTAGGAGTACCATTGCTACTGCTACAGCAACAACGGCGAATGTGAAGAACAATGATGGGTGCTTTCCCCAACAATATATGAGATGATGGCCACGATGACGACAATGACAACCGCCACCGCGATGACGAACTTCATCATAATCACTACAACGTACAGTAACAATCTGATTGTCGCGACTCTGCTGGAATAATTACTGCTGTTAGGAACAACACGTCATCAATTCGTGGGTCCCCATCCTGCACGCAGGCTGATTGTTCCGAGCGAGCTCTGTCCAGGCGACCGAAAAGCTTAGCCCGGCAGCCGCCACCTGCTCAGGGTTGTAAGTGTGATGTATAGACTTTAAAGTTTAATCTTGAGGGCTGAAGGGCTAGGGTTCATGCTTAGATCAAAGCTCCCATTGAATCGGGCTCTCGATATGTTTTTCTGTAATGAAAACCAATCAAGAACCAACCTTGAAAGAGCGAGTAGTGTGGGGGAGGAATTTGGGAATCCATAATAAAGAGAGTATACAGGCTCTTATGCAGACTAAAAGATTATGATGGAGGGTCTGGGTCTTGTGGCTTAAGGCCTTGGGTTTGGGGTTAAGGGGGTAGAGCTTAGCGATGCGAGGTCTCTGAGTCGGCGTGTCATGAAGAGCGACCGTGTTGCGTGTGCCTTGTGCATCTCTTGGGGCCCATGATGACAAGTAGAGACGCTGAGGGAATTGTACTCAGAAGTTAGAAGTGCTGCGAATACCTCCTGTGGAAACTGCTGAAATAAAACAGGACTCTAGACCCTAAACTAAACCTTCTATGCCACTAACCCAATACAAGGCTAGCTGGAAGCGCAAAACCTGGACCCTCTAACCCAACTCCACATCTTAAACCCCATATCTGGAAGCTTCGGCCACCTTTCTGCAAGCTGCTGGGGAGCTCTGATCGGCCAAACCTCGTCAGTCAGGAGCTTTTATGACACTTGTCAACTTTTAGCCTACGCCTGTTGCAATTACAACAACTACAACTATATGTATATCAGCGCCCACACGATTGATGGTATGGTCAGCATAAATGCCAGTCCCGCGCTACAGTTATTAGTCGTTGTTAGGTTTGTTGAAGCCTTCAGAGGTTTCCGACAGCCCCTAGTACAAGACAGTTTACGGGTTCTTGTCTTGTCTGGATTCACGTAGGAGCCGGTCACCCTCCATAGGAATGGCGAAGCTAGCATGTCAGATCTACGATGTAGGGGGTGCGCATGGGGGTTTAGGACGCTGGGGACCAACATGCAACGTTTTTAACTGCGTTCGTCACAATTTGGAGGTATCCTTTCACTTTTGTGGCAGCATTGTGCGTTTCCTACATCTCCAGGCATTCCTTCTCTCTGTTGAGTTTTGACGATTGCTCTCGTGACTGTGGGTTGTGCAAAAGTTTTACAAATATGCTGACCGAAATCGATGCCGCGACCTGGAACTATCCATGAACGTCTGAGCGTTCCCCCAAATCATGACCTTGATCCCAAACCCCAAAGCTGCCATCTAGTGAGTGGCCTGACTCAACTAGCAGAAAATCTGTTGGCCGCCGCCTCATAGCCCGAACCCTTTCGCTTGTTGCCAAAAGTCAAGTACCTTCTGCCCTCTAGCTCCACTCATCCTCAAGAAACCCTGAATATTTAAACGAACATTCTACCAGGAAACCATTTCAATAGCTCCTACACTACATGCCCAGGGACAGTTGGGCAAATAGCCGCTGCGCTGCGGTATCGGCCGCTGTGCAGGCGCTACGGGACGTACGTGCAAAAGCAAGCGCACTGGCGCCCGGGCAGTGCCTGAGAGGTTTAGGGCTTGTTGCCTTGGATTTGGGGTTTTGTTCCTTCAGTTGAAGGGTTGAAGATTCAAGGCTCAAGGTGTTGGTGCTTGTTACTCAGGGTAGGCGATGGCCCCTTGAAGCATTGCATGCCAAACTGTCACATTGAAGCTAGGGAGCCTCGAGACAGATAGCTCTCCTTCGCCCCGCTACACCGAAATTTGCTAGACCCCGCAACATTGCCATAGCATCCTTGCCAAAGCCTCAGCCCTCCCTGGCCCTGTAACCTGAAAACATCGGAATCCTAAGCACACACCCAGGCACACCACGACCCGCGAAAGCACATCTTCAGGCAGATCTTCTGCCAGTGCCAAATCCAGGTCCATGGGCAGCGAGGGAGCCAAGCATGGGAGACGTTAAGGTTGAAGGCTGAAGGAGTCACAGATTTCAAGGGTTAGGGCTCGAATTACGGAGTTTAGGGTATTGGGGGTTAGGGTTCAAGGAAATAGAGGGTTGGAGCCGGAGCATTTGAGTTTAAAGCTTCGGGGCTTGGGGTTTGGGACTTTCGGCCTAGGGTCGGAAGGCTGGAGTCCAGGTTTGGAGAGTTAAGAGCTTACGGTTTACCTGGGGAGCCAACGACTCAAATTTCGAGGCCATTGGTTCATGCTGTCTGTGACAAGGGTTTGGTGTTCTGGATCATGGTTTCTAAGCGTCATTGATCAAGCTTCACTGCATCCTCAACTAGAAGCGGTGTAGCTGGCGAGACAGGCTACACCCTACGGAAGTTACCAACATCAGGCTTGAAGAAAAACTTGTTTCGTTTCGAATTCTCGAGACCACACACCATTCGAGCCACGAACATCGTCAACAACGTGCATGCATGAACTGTAACAATGGAAGGGATTCCTCCTTCCAATTATCTGAGCCAGAATGATGTTGCTGAAGCCCAGCCGTCTTCTGAGTTTCACTTGTATATGACCGAGGGGCGGAAGCGAGACCCCAAGTCGGGCGGTAGGTGTGCTCACGATACTGGCATTTCATAAAACATAAAAAAATTCCTACAGAATTCTTTTTGGGACTCCCAGGAATCATTGGCTACTTCTATTTGGTGACCATGCTTCTAGCAGACGCAGAAACCCTGAAGACCAACATCAAAGGTCTCTTATAACTCGAAAGAATTTGATTGGGAGTAAGCACTTCTGGGGCCCCGCACCTTGCGGGATCTTCGTAGTTTCGCAGAGTTACACGTTACATCGTGACCCTTACTCCCGTTGCGCGAGTCCGTTCAATCAAGCCTCTCTTATCTTTGGAGCACAGGGCAGGGACCCGTCTCATTTCTTGATGCAGCAAGTGCAGCCCTTTCAATGGGATAGACCCATAAACTCTGCAGGCTTCAATCTTGGCACCTACATTATCGCGAGATTTCAAGGAACTCAAGGGTTGAGGTTTAGAGTCAAAATCGAGCCTGATCTTGCCCCCGGGAGATGACGGCGAAGCCATCGCTTGGGAGATGTAATTCTGCAATCCCCTGATAAAGCAACCCCTCTGTTTTCGAATTGCACAGCTTCAGCATCTTTACAGTACGGTAGTCCCTCTTCAAAGGAGGGGAGATTATTCATCAGCAGTCTATCACCATCGCACCTAACCCATAGACCTGAACCGCTGAACCTGAAGCTCTGTTGATTTACTGCTGGGAAGTCAGATGCCAGACCACATTCTGAACCCAAAGGTCATGGCTCCAAAGCCCAATCAACCCTAAGGACACTAAACCAAGCAACACAAGCTTTACACACATCCTGAGTCCCCTCAAGCAGGAGGAAATAAGCTGCAGGACAGTCTTGCATTGCAAGGTTTGCGCGCGTTTCCTTTCAAATTTGATGCATAAGACCTGCAGACAACCATCCAGCTCTGGAAGATCTTCTCAGGGGATCCCTCTGTGTTGATCCCTTTTGTAAGTTCGTATTGACGTATTGACCTTGAATTTGTTCGATACCCCGAATCGAATTCCTACGAGCCCAGTACAACCCATACCGCAAAACTACAACATACCAAACTCTCACAAGTCCGATGCTTTAGAGTGTTAAGGTCTTACAGGGTTTGTGAGTTCGACGTACCGACAGCATCGCACCCTTCCTCGGCTCAACACCTTTTTAAACTTCATATCCCCAGCGCCCGGCCTTAAACGAAAGCCAGCAACGCCGAATTAGGAATCCAAAGTTGAGAGCATAAAGCTATCGTCCCAACGATGTTCTTCCTTGATGTAAGATCTACCAACACCAGATCCTCGAAGCCCTGTCTCAAACGAGTAACAGTGGGCCTGGGCGCAGTTTTGGGCCCGGGGCTTAATCCCAAGAAGCAGCAAGAGGATGTCGTTGTTCAAGAAGCGTCGTACGCAAGATGCTGATGTGAATGTTTCTCCGTTGCATCCCCCTAAGCCCTAAGCGCCCTGACCTTCTTTAGATACAGACCCCCAAGTCCCATCATTGGACCATCATTTCATGAACCCCTCAAGTAAGCCCAAAAGCTCAGATATTCCCATAGGATAACAAGAATACTCGTGTGACAGCCCTAGGAGATCCTAAGAGGCAAAGCTAACAGATGAACCTGCCATACAAACCCGAAAACGCGAGGGGCTCCGTTGAGTCCGCAATGTGTGCTGCTTCCCTGTGCGTGCTTGCCGATCGCAATTGCTGCACTGCATCGTTTGCCTCACTTCGGGGTCCGTGAATCCCTGGGCTACCGCGGGCCCATGTTCGTGCTTCTATGCTGGCAGACTTCCTCTACCTCTAGGAACATTGTTCACATCGTTTTCAGGATTTGGGGCTCAAGTGTTCAGAACCTGCTCTGCCAGGACGCATGGCAATCTCTTAGAGTTGGCGATCATCATAATACTTTGTTTGTTGCAGCAAGAGACAGAGTTCAATTGAAAGATGGCCCCGTTAACATTAAATCCTAAAGCTCTCAACGGAAAAGCACCAACATCCTCCACAAAACAGAACCCA